TGTATCGAAATAGAATAATTATTCAACCTTCTTTTGTAAAATGGAAATCTGAAAGTTTTTACATATCGGAAGGTAATATCAGTTGCTTATATTAGAATTATTGTTATACCCTTGTGTTCCAAGGGGACATAGCACATCACCACCTCATCTTGTTCTGTATAGTCGTTTTTAGCTACTTCCAGGATTGCCCATAAATTTTCATTTCCTCTTTACAATATCTCCGTATCGCCCTCTGTAAATTTTCCAGATCAGAAACTGTTAAGTTGACAGCTTGAAAGACTGTCAACCCACAGATTCTGAAGCTGGCGCTGCTGCAACTCAGAATACTGTGTACAGTAACCGACTCGAGAATATCGAAAAACAGGTTGGCAGTCTAACGATTGTTTGGTTATCGACTAATAGTGGACCAGGACTGCGGGGTTATTACGGTACAAAGTCTAGGAATAAACAGAAGTATTAATCACGATAATACTTCAGATTGTTCTTCTCGAGTCTTCTACCAAACACAGAACGATTAGGCCACGGCCGCTATCGCTGCCTCCGGCGAAAATGGAGATCCGTTCGAATAAGCAAACCTTATTTTGCTCATTCAATGTTCACCGTCACTGATACCCTCCGACGGACAACTCTTCGTGTTCCACTAGGTTCCCATTCGGGAGACTGGTGCGCAATGTAATTCAAAGGTCTTGTCAGGATGTACCCAATACATCTCCAGTTTCCTCTGCTAAATGAGTTCAAATTAAATACTAAGTTTTGAAAGAGGTTAGTCGGTTCGACATTCGGGACAAGTATAACTCTTCTCAAAATTGTAAGTACTCTTTGTTGTTGAGTACCAAGAAACATTTAACATAATTCATACAGAACTTCCTGTTAACTGACCCTTTTCAGCACCAAAGACTTGAGCTAATTAGAAGAGGAATACCCTTCATATTAATATATGTGTAAAACTTGGGCACTGTGGTAGTAAGTAATTCCATATTAGTTTGTTTATTAGGTATATCACACAGTGAATCAGTATTATTTACTGGATGACGTTTCGAAACGTCAATTATTTTTTAACTCACACTGAGCAGTATGAAAAGCGTAAAATAGTTAGACACATCTCTGTAGATTCTTGTTTTCATCAGATCGAAACAAGAGTGTACCATACCACTGCTTATACCCGAATTAACCTTTATAAAATGTATTAAAATAAATGCAAATTGAAATGACAATAATTTTCTTCTAATGTTGATTAAATAGATTATGACAACTGGATTAAAAAAATAAGTGTGATTAAATCACAGGAAGCTTTTGTTTTCTTTTTTGGTGAAATTTGAAGAGTTCTCAACAACTAATCTAATTTTGGGACTCATCGGCAGTACACATCCACCGGAATGAAAGAGCAGCTGTCCAGTACTCCTCCCTGGTTTTCAATGGTTCTGTAACTGATATCAATCCATGGTTAAATTCGAGAAACAAAGTGTAATCCTCACAGAACAACTCTTGAAAAAAAAATAAAGAATCAAACAATTCCTTGGGGAAGCTTTTGAATTTGAAACAAATTCGAATCATTTACATAACGATCCGCGGCTTTGCTTGCATAAAAGGACTCAAAACAAAAGTCCCAAACAAGGACGAAACAGCTGTCCAGTACTCCCAGCTGGTTTTCCAATGGTTCTCTAACCAATGTCAGCTCATGATGAAATCCTGTAACCAGTCAATCAAATCCCTACAAACCAATACTTAAATATCAAAATAAAAGTGTTCAAGTATCATAAATCATGGCTTACCTTTGATGGATTCATCCTCCAGTTTTCGAATAATTTCCATCTGATTTATAGAACAGTTTCGACAGATGAAATAGCATATCACCTTTTAGGACCGACGCTTTGACGATATCTAAAGGTTAACTTGGTGTCAATTAAGATCAAGCATTTCAATCCACAATAGTCAATCAGTTGTGAATATAAATTAAATTTAAAGAATACTAACTGGCACCCGTTGCATAACAGATGGTTCTCGTGACCCAGTGGATATGAATTTGGCATTTGAAGCGACGTTTGTAGAGTTCGAGTCTCATAAGGGATGTTATAACTCCGAATACAGTTATATCCAGCCGACGAATCTTAAACAGGACGAAAAGTGCATCCTAGATACCACCACTAGAGACTGCTTGCCAATTAACATTCCAGTAACTAAGTTGATCTGTAATAGCACCTAACTGTTTAAGTCATTGTTTAAAGGCAACTACAGACTCCAAAACTTCTACCTCAGAAGTAGTGGTATTTTATAAATGCCAGAATATTATATTCTCTAGCTGCTTACAATTTTTCACTTTCCGTGATTACTTCAGGCATTTGATTTCCAGTATACTTCTTGAAGAATAATGCATACTTCATAAAATATGCTGTCGTACTTCAACCTATGACATATCGATAACTCACTTTGTCATTTATCTATGGAGTCTTCTGCAAGAATACTTACGGAATCCTTTTATAAATTCTTTTATTAAAAGAAAACAGTATTACAGACAACTTCCTAAATGTTGTCACTTTAAATTGCGGCTACTGTCTCTTTGATTTAGAAACCTCCTGTCAAAATAAATACGCCATACAAATGTGAAGAGGCAGCTAGACTGTCACCAAAATGGTTAAGTTGTCCTAAAACAACCAGTTTATTGAGACATTATTATTCCAGCTAATGCCTTTGGTAATGATTGACCCAGGCTGTGATTAATTCCCAAGGGCTTTTAATTTTCTTTCTAGTGGCAGACCCTCTTTGTTGATGATCCATGGATGAAATAAATACAGGTGCATAAAGTGATCTGCCCCATTGTGACTGACTATTAATTGTGCTAAATTTATTATTCTATAATTTAGTTTACGCATCTTGATGATGACAGAACTATAATTTCCGCCGAATTCTACAGCTCTCAGTATAAACAAATTTTCACTTTACCAGATTGAGTCAATTGGTTGACTGAAACTACCTATTGAGAGTCTACAGTTGCAAATGTTACGTGGTTTGAGGTATTCATGCTTGTTGGTAACCTTCAGGAAGGTGTGCCTGCAATCTTAGAGGAACTTATCTCCCCTCAGAACTTCAAACCCGCGTCAGGAAATCTGTAGCCAATGATGTCACCACTGATTTATTCGGATTCAAGAATTACCTCTTTTAGGACTGTGTTAGTCCCGCGCTTCCTGCTTACTGTTATCTAATATCAGTTTAAAGCGCACAGCGATGACAAGTCACCTACCTTGGTAACAATACTAAGGACTTGACTGATAGGTTTCGGTCCGCACCAATCCCAAAAACGAGACGTATGACAATAGTCAATCCCTACCGACTAGTCTGTGTGCAGTTATAAGTCTTTGTGAAGTCAATAATTCATGCGTCACTATAACATTTGCAGACCATTATTCAACAGTAAAGCTTCCATGATAAGTTAACCTAAACGATCCTCTTCGCATATAACTCCATAAATATCTGAAGCATTTCTGGAAATTCTTCTTCAAAAGTTTCATTTACGGTCACAATATATTCAATCAGTTGTGCTAATTTCGGTGAGTTTTGTCAGTAGTTCAGCCGCAGGACGCTCACCAACTACATACGTGGTCTGGAGATTGATCCCCGGCAGACGTACTCCTAAATCTTGCTAAGCCGGCAGCATATCCCGGTAAAGAGGAAATGTCGGGCATTTCAGGCTAGCAATCCCATCCCGTGAAACTAAAACCCCTGCTGCTGGGATCCCAAAGCTCTAGTTTGAAGCCCCAAGTTCCACTCGGAATGTAAAGGAATAAAATAATAAATAAATGAATAAATAAATAAATTTCGGTTCACATTAAGACACAATATTCATTAAATTGACTGGTCATTTGGTAATTTATCAGGTAGTGAATGAAAAATATCAAAAAACACGAGTATTGGAAGTAATATAATGGTGGTCAATAAATTTATTTTTAGGAAAAATAACCACTATCTGAGTAATCCTTTTGGGATGTCGCAGAACACTGAATTTAACAGTGGAGACATTTCTTTTACTTGATTTTTCCACCTGATTTAAGTTAGCTCATATAAAACTAAGTTATAGTCAGTATGAGACTACACCAAAGGACGTGATTAGGTGTAGAATTTAAGACGCAGCAATGTGCTAAACTTTCGTGGAAAACACGTAAAACAAAATGGATAAATGTAGAATAGATATCTCTTCAGTTTATCTTGACATCACTGAACTGTCCTTTTGAATATATATTACCTGTCATGAGACCAATTAGATGAAGTTATTTAAAATCACGTATAATGTCTAAACAGAATGATGGAAAAAATTAAATCTGAGTCTTTACTGATATAGGATTGACATTCAATATAACCAAAGTAAAAACAAGATTTTTTAAGTTTCTGTGTCCTCTGTGTGTGAATAACCGTCAACAGAAGTTACTAGTTTATAGCCAACTTTCAAACTAATGTACTTTCTATGCTGTAAACATCATATGCCATCCGCCAACAATACCTGTTCTGTGACTTTCGCTTGAAATTATAAATATTTCTTCTGATGCGTTTATTTCTATTGTTATGCATGATAGACAAAACTAATTGTCCACAATAAACACCACTCAGTGATTTCCAAAACTGCTCAGATAAACACTCTAAACCGGCGTTTTTGAAATATATACCTAATAATAAGGAAGTGAATTTGAAGTGTGAATACATATCAAGTAAAATAATATATATACCACTTTTAATGTTATTTATCTGATTCAATGAATTAGAAATTCTTTACAAAAATTGTTAGATGATTTCATTCTGGTGATTGTTTTAAACAGCAGACATAGTGCGCCTGTTAATCATCAACAAGTTCAAAAGTACTAACCACTGTTCATTTTCACGAACTTTCTCTAAAGAATAAATAAGAAAGGAATACCAAAATAGGGTGAAAAATAAAAATAATTAATTCATCAATCTATTCGTGTTATTTTTAAAGCTTTTTCTGCATTTTTAAATGTCAAAACTGTTTCGCCTCATGAAAATTTGTCAATCTCATGCCAATAAGTTATCTTCCTTGTTGAATTAAGTGAATTACAGGCTTTTAATTTATTCACTTCTGTAATTAAATCATTCCACTGTAACATGGCTGATTCATTAGTGTTGATTGCATTTGATCCGAGTACAATTCTAGTCAAACAACGTGCCTGACAAAATGAATTAGTTCGAAAGAATATTTCAAAAATTGTTTGAATATCTTTATAATGTAATATATAATCCATATCCACATCTAATGATAAGAGTTCTTGTGAAGGTATTGTGATTTGATCAACAATATAACTGTCTTTTGCATCAGTATTCAGTGATGTCTTGTTGTCGTCGATTTTGACGATTTCGATTGGTTGACTTTTTAGAGATTGTTGAGCCATACTTTTCAGGCAGAATATTGCTCTAAAGATTAGTTCAGCTGAAAATTTAGAAGATATAAAGTTATTTAAAAAATCACTGTGTGCATTTGTGTGCATTTCTAATCGCTTTAAGTCGCCTATACAGTCAACTAAATGAAGTTGATAACTGTTAGTCTGTAAAATAAACACGATTTGCAATTAGCGTCGGAATCTTAGTGAACAAATACTCAGTAGACTCAGATTCATGAATGCCTGTTTATAGAAGAAAATAACTATGGCTTAGCTGAATAACTTCAAAGGTGACTGACTAGTACGCTTCTCAAACTTTTTGGACAATATCCTAATAAAGCTGTAATACAATCCATATATACTAACCAAAATGAGCCAATAGGATGAAGCAACAAGAAAAACTATAGAATTCAGTCTGCACCAAAGAAGGACTAGATACGTCACAGTAGTTACTAGTGTCCAATCAAAATACCCACTACAGTCCTACAGGAGGTCAATCGCAAACCCAAATAGCTCAGTGGTAACGTCTCTGACTACAGCACTGGGTGACGCGGGTTTGAATCTCAGATGGGACATGAGTTTCTTCAAGGTTGCAGATACGCCTTGCTGATGAGTGCCAACTAGCATGAAACCTAGGTCCAAAGCTTTCTGCCGATTGCCTCCAACTATCTAATATCAAATCAATGTGCACCGTGATGGCGAGCTACCTAGAATGGTGGCCACATTGCCAATACCTGACTGACAGAATTCAGTCTGCACCAAAGAAGGACTAGATACGTCACACTAGTTACTAGTATCTAATCAAGAAACACTATCCGTCACCTAGATACCTTGTCATTACTGTCCTGGAACCTTTTTTTTGCTTTTCTCATAAGCATAGAAAATATCCGCGTTTATTTCAGACAAAATGCATAACTATTAGGATTTACTATGGCGGCGTGCTTACTCAGAAGAATATTATTTATGCAGAAAGAGGTGAATGTTTGTAGTATTGTCC